ACTGCATATGTCTCATAGGACTGTTGATCTGGCAAGAGCTAAAAGGGACTGGCACCCTCTTTTCTGGAGAAACCAGCTCGAAAGTACCCTTACTAAGCAGTTCGTCGGGCTACCTATCTACTTATGTATGTTTTATGTATATGCAACCACAGTTTCAGATACTAGTAATTATTAGTTAAAAATTATCCAGCTGAAAAAAGTCGGGCACTTCCAGACCTATATCAAACGCACTATCAAAAATTTTAAATCCAAGGTCAAACCTTTCACATTTAAGGTTGATAAAAAATATTCAAAAGAGGTATAGGACAACCAGCTCATCCTTGTGACTACTTTTTAACAAATTCGCTTAATTTCCTATTGATGTTATCTCTTTGAAGAAATTTAACACCAAAATTCATAAAAAATAGAGAAGACTTTAAGGCCATACGTTTCTCTACAGTAACAGCGCTGCAGTAGATTAACGTGATAATAATAAAAAGACTATTTGCCAAACCCAAAACGTACATTAGAGCGCACAATGAATTTAAATGGACGTGCGAAAAATTTTATCTCGCAGCACACATCTGCGCTCAAATTGAGCGCATTTACTCGCTAATGCCCGCAGTGTAGAATAATTTTTCTCAAGCTACAAAAAAAAAAATTCACACACAGAAGTGCAAACTTTTGGAGCAAAGAAGAAGAATGGGTTGAAACAAAGCGCTTAATTCAAATTTCCAACTCTAACCTCAAAAAAGTGCTAAAATTTTGCGTTTTTTTTGTTTTTTTTTTTTGTTGGCTGATTTAGGAAAAAGAAGTATTTTTGTACGTAGGTAGGTATGAGGAAAATAACGGATTGCATTATTCAGTGGCGCTTAGTTGGCATGGCAATGCACTCCCGCGTGAAACACGTACACATACAAATACATATATGTATGTATAATTGTGCATAGAAATTCACACATCCACGTGAAAGGCCGCACATGTAAAGTTTCAGCGAACACACCACCCAACCTACTATGCATATGGATGAGTTTTTACGAGTGTATTTGTTGCCATATCAACTGGTCGGTGTTGTTTGCTGTCAGTGTTATCATATGCACCGCAGAGATTTTCCCAGAATTATTCGGTTGTTTTCTTTTTTTCTTTTGACGCTGATATCAAACCTATGCTGGCGAATACTAACTAAATTCTAAAACGTTAGTTTAGAGTGAAAAGTTGCTAAGTACGGTTTTTTCAAATTTCACAGGGGAGCATAAAACCCGTTCGAAGTAATTTTCCCCCAGTGCTGGCTTTTCAAATATTTTCATACCAGTTTGCGCGTACTTCCAAGCTAACTGCAAGCGACCTAAATTTCATACAAAACGATGCAATTTTTAATTGTACTTGCTTCGTGCATCAAAATTAAAAGAGGACTTAGCAACATTTCACTCTAAGCTAGCGATAAGTGTTAGTGTTCGCTAACACACGCCCACATACAAACAGATATTGTCTACGTATGTATGTAGGATGCGGGTACCAACTGTTGCCCGTTGGTGTTGCGAGATCACGTTCAGTTTTTTTCACTACACCTTTGCAGCGTTCTTTTTTCTAACACTCCCTCCCTCCCACCCACACACACACACAACACACAAAGCCAAACGCGCATACTTTGTTGTTTGCTAACTCCTTTTTCATTTTGTTGCGGCTCAAAGTTGCAATCCACTTTTTCACCATGACGCTCTAATGCGCGACGAACAGTTTTTATTTTATTTACTGCTAAACCACATATGAGTTAGTGTGAAAAAATTGGTTTCTGAAAAAACTATTTTCTGTACTTGCACAAACAAAAAAAAAAGAACCATACATACACGCACTCACACAAACAATCACGAACTTTGAATAGGTGGCAAGCCTCTTATTTCCGTGTCTGTGCGGTGCAGAGCAAGGGCATCGCGCGAAATTATCTCTGTCGCAGATTAAGTGGCGCTGCATACCAATTAGCTTTGTGGTTGAGGGGGTTCGACGTAAGAAAAAGTTTAAATAATAAGCGCGCTGTTGCTCTGCGCAAATTTCCGGTAAACTTTTAATTAGTTTGTAAATGGATGAAAATTGAAAACGATTATCATTGGCTGTGGCAATCTCTAAACAAACCGGGCGCGGAATTCATAAATAAACAGCAAATACATAAAGAAATCGGTTGAATATTATAAAGAGCTAACGAACTTAGGAACCAAGGAGACGTTCGAGTAAAATAATGCCGGATTTTCGGTAATCTCAAATATTTCTAGGTTTCTACAATACTGAAGTAGTTTATTTGCATAGAGTAGGCAACTGAGAAGTAAAGTCCACTCTCGAAAAACGAACGAGTATCATACGAACGTATGCAAACCGACACCTTCTTATTATTTGGCACTACCACCGTTTGTAGATTTAGGCCGAGACCAAAAAAAGTTCGCTAACTGACTCTATCCTTTGCGATTTTGCGCCAGTTGTTCATCCCGATTCTGCTCTCGATCCTTCGATTGTGTTCGTTGTTGTTGATGCTTTTGTAGAGCCCACTCAACCCTGCTTAGATCGGCTAGACCTGCTGTAGGAGCCAGAGCGAAGTTGAACTATTATGGTTCGAGTCTCCCGAGGCAGACCTCTAAGTAGTCTAACCTCCTTCATTCGGGTGGTAAGAATGGTCGCCGAGGACTTTGTACCGAAGAGGTTTAGGTTCATTTCAGTGGAGAAGCGAGAAAGTTCGAAGAGTCGTTTACTTTCCAGCATAAGCCATCAATTCCATTCTTGGACGCCATTATCAAGCAGTTATCAGCATAAGAGACAATCGAGACTCCCTCTGGTGTTTGAAGGAAGCGGGGAGACCGCCTGTTTAATTTTTCTTGGCTTGCTAGTTTTGTCACTAAAAATTACTGACGAGCTTCGACCACTCAAATAATTCGCTGACCACTGTTTGAGTGGCTGCGGGAGAGGGGAAGCCTCAATGTTTTCTAGTAGCGTGGAGTGGTTGACGGTATCAAACGCCTTTGACAGATCCAACGCTACTAGGACAGTTCTCTCACGGACGGTTTCGGTTCAGGCCACGAGATATCTGGGTGCTGGGATGTTAAGTGCTGTTGTTGTGCTGTACAACAGAGTTATCGGACGATAACAATTTTCTTTGTTGGCGTTTTCCCCGGTTTAAGCAGTGGAACCACCCTCCACATTTTCCAGATGTCCGGAGGGATGAGAGTGTCCATAGACCTTGATTAAATAATCTACTCCCGCAGGACCCCCATTTTCAGAATCAGCATGTACATTTCATCGGGTCCAATGGCTTTGGAGGCTTTCGTCCTCCCGATGGCTACCTAAACCTCGCCGGGAGTGAAAACAAGAGGCGCATTAGGTGTTGGCAGTTTGTGCACTCTTTTGGTCACTCGAGGTTTGGCTGTATCTAGCCAATAATGCAATGTGAACTACCGGCTAAAATAACTCGCGCATCGATATGGGACCGATAGGCGCGGTCGCCGAAAGATATTTAGACTCTGTCACCACGCTGCGTCGGATTGGATAGTGACCTCATTGTATTCGTGAACGCCCTTGCTTTCGTTGTCCTTCCATGGATACCGAGCCGGAGGATATTTTCACTGGAGCGTCGTTGTTCACTCAACTATGTTCATGTTATACAGTACATCAATCCATTTCCCATGCGAATTGGGCCCGCAAAGCTATCTGATCTTTGCTCGACATCATCCACGTTTCTACACAATGCAGAAGTACTGGCATGATGAGAGGTTTGGAAAGCGCACCTAATTTTTGTTCGCCGAGAGAGAGACCTGTCTTTGAACTGCCTACCAAGCCAAAAGTAGCACCTGTTGATAATAATTATTCATCGCTTTATCTCCAGGCTGACGTTGTTGGTGGTATCTATGCTTTTTATGTGTTGCCGGAAGGTACTTCGCCCAAAATCGATTTGGTGGTTAAGTAGCCAATCAAGAAGAAGAGGGGGATCCAGTTCGACTGAAGAAAATTTCAACATGCAGTGCAGGACTTGCTTGGAAATCATTGCGAAAATTATGTGTAGCAAATTGCAATGGGGTTTCCATGATTCGCAACGAAAGCTTTATGAGCCATTGTGGCGTCAACTTTGGATTTTTCTTGTCTCAGACTCGAACTGGTATAGACGATGGCAGTAGAAAAAAGACAAACATGCCTACAAAAAAAGCGAGGAATGTATGCGGAAATGTGCTTATCATACGTTCAAATGTGTGTGTGACTTTAGTTAAATATAATCCAATTGCTTGTGTGTATTTGTTTGTGTACCATTTTATGTGCAATAGAAAAAAAGTTTGTTTCGCATTCTCACTTTGACTGCGACTGAGGGGAGCCACAAAGCTGTAAGTCGAGGCCAAGTAAGCGTATCAAAGCGCTTGAAGTCAATGACTGCCAAATTTTGAAAAAAGGGTGAACTTTAAGCAGGATATTAACGCACACACATAAAGTTAGAGACAAAGATAATATGTATGTGTGTATATACAACCAATCAAAACCGCATAAAATAGACCCCATGCACTCATTGAAAAGTTGTCATATTTTCTTTTTAATTTTTTCGCATACATTTTTCAGCCATTTTTACGCACTATTTTTTTTGCGATTTTTCATTTGACTTCTGCATGAGAAAACTTTGAAATTATGCAATTCACATTTCGCATTCGTAAAATTTTTTTATTACTTCCACTTCCATATAGTTGTCGGGTTTGGCATTTGCCTTTAGCGGCTGCAATTTTTATGAGCAGCCAAAAAAGGAAGTGAGCTCATGGTATAAATTTACACGCCATAGATTTTTATGAATGCACTCAAAATGTCGGAGTTATGACGCCATTTTACGGCCGGTCATTCACATCACAAAGCTAGAGCGAATATAAAACGCAAACGCAAAAAGGGAAGGGCTTGCGTGCACAATGAAGAAATAAAGCACAAATTCATTCTAACATATCACTACTCATTTACAAATTTCCTCGCGGTCACTAACTTTTTGATCCGTTTCTCATTTCCTTTCACAGAATGATTTGGTTCGCCTTTATCTGCGTTGCTCTCTTTGCTATCATTTCGCTGAGTAAACGAACTTGGGTACGTTTTCAAACCTCACCTATGGTCATATCGATGGATCGCAACAAGTTAGTGTGGAATACGAGCTTTCCTTCGCTCACCGTATGTCCTCACAAGCGCATCGATGAACTGAAAGTCGAGGAGTATATGGAGTAAGTGAAATCTCAGTTGAACCTGAACCTTTGGTTCAGATGTTTTAATTTTATTTTATATATTTTCATATTAAGCACTCATCCAGAAACCTTCGAATCGGTAGAAGATCGGGAGGACTTTCGCATATTCATCGATAAATTGGCACGTCTCACTTATGAGAACATCGAAACATTGCCGCGTAATAAATCTTTTGGCATACCGGGCAACAAGTATCTGGATTTGCTGTACGAACTCAAGTGGAACTTCGAGCCGGAAATGAGTAGTGGCGCCGCCGTACAAATGTTTATCTATGAAACACTCACTGAGTTTGGCATTTGTCATTCGGTTAACTCGCTGGTGGCGCGCTACAATTCTTATGAGTAGGTTTAATGAGATTTTGGTATCAATTGAAAGTCATTTCATTTCATTCCACTTCATTTCATTTCGCTTCTTTTCATTTCAGTTCATTTTCGTTCATTTCATTTGAGTTCATTTGATTTCATTTTACTTCATTTACTTTCAACTCTTTTTGATTGCATTTCATTTATCTTCATTTAACTTAATTTCGCTCCATATCTTTAAAAAAAACTTTTCATTTCATTTTACTTCTTTACATTTCATTTCATTTCCTTTGATGCTCCTTTTTTGTGCCCATAACTGATCGTGACTTTTGTATCCCCTTGATAAGATCCTAACCTGGCCAATGCCGAACAATCACACATAAATGCTCCCTCTCTTCAAGACAAAGGCGACAATCCGTCTCAGAGTATATGTCAATTTGATGTATTAAAAAGATTTACATCTTCCCTAGTAAAAGGATATCCAATAAGCTTAGCCTGCCTAAGGCCCCTCACCTTTCCACAGTACTCACTACATGCTGAGTTTACCCACTCTTTGCTTATGAGTCTCGAGGTGTACCAAACGAGTTCGCAAAACGATTTCCGTCCCAAATGGACAGACCATGAGCCCTCCCTAGTCGGTTCATCGGCGACCTCGTTACCTTCAATTCCGCTGTTTCGTGGTAACCAGCATAGTGTTACCGCGTTCCTTGCTGGCGAGATACTGTGGAGACTGTCAAATCACTACTTGACGAGCCGAGGCAGAGCTGCACTCATAGCTGGTGATATAGTACAGCCGAATTTTCCTGTGACTATAATTACCAGGTTTTCCGCGGACCCAACAGCATCCAGTAGTTTGTTTAAGAAGTCACTAGAGTCCAAATAGAGGAGAAGGAACATCGTAATGTTGTCACGGAAATCTTGCCAAAGGACGATGTTATATCACGTACACGAAGCGTGGTGTCGAGCCACCCGGCAGTAGAGAAATATATTCTTCTGATTTTCGTTGTTGGTGTTTCCGACAGGGTAGGAATGTGATGTCATCTGGAACGATTTTCCATCATCGCTTGTCAAATTTGGTTTGGAGACAAACCGGTTTCGGCTTTGTGCCATCTTCAGTGTCATTTTTCGTTCTCGAAGTTAAAAGAGTAAATTTATGTATATTTTTGTCCTTAAGTACATACAATCTGCAAGTTATGTGGCAGTGACCTCGAAATTAGCCCTGCTTTTCTCTCAAAATACATATGTATGCATGTCGATAGGTAAATTATTCGATTTTCCAGTCTTCCATATCCTTAAAAACACAAAATCCAACTTCCTCTCATTTCGAAAACTTTCTTTACTACTTTTTAATATTTTTCTCTCTCTCCTTGAATAGATATTGGAAAGGCAACGATTGGAACTTCTTAGAGCATGGCGATCGCGTCACCGTTCATCCGCTCGATGGTGAAATTTATGCGCAAATTATAAATCTCTCCACTGCATATGATGTCTACTTCCACGGCGCAGGCGATATACCGAACATTTCCAAACAGCGCTATACATTTCCGGAAAGTGATTACACAACAGTGGAGCTAATAGCGCTGGAGATCTATACAGCAGAGGAGGCGCGAGCGTGAGTATTAAAGCGGAGTGAAATTAACTTCAAGACGACTTAAAGTTGGATTAAGCTTATTTATGAGTAAAGCTGCGCTAACAACCAACATTCTTCTTTATTCCAAAATTTTACGGTGCCCATTTTAGGCTGGTCATTTTTTTTTTAATTTCTTAGATATCTGCTAACCACTTCTTTCATCGCAGCTTCACCACCACCCAACGCAAATGTCGCTATCAATACGAGGCTGAGGAAATGCAAACGGCGCCCATCTACAGTTTTGGTCTCTGTCTGGCTGAGTGCCGCATGTTTTTCGCGCTAAAAGTTTGTGGCTGCGTGCCACATTTCTATCGTAATCATTGTAAGTGTTTAATATTCAAAAGCTTAACCACACTCGTAACCCAATTCTGACCCAATTACACTTAATGAGCGCTAAAAACATTATATTAATTAGGAAAGTACAGAAAAAATAAACGAAATACAACACTACCAATAGTTACCGTTACAATTAGACAGCGCTATGCAATGCTGCATTCAAATAACAACACTTCACTTAAGAATTTCTGTAATGAAAATATCAGTTTCATTTGTGTTTGTGCTAATTTTGTGTGTCGTCTATGTTTTTTAATATCAATATTTACATTAGACCGTACCACCTTACAAAAAAAAACAGAAAAAAATAATAATTGACGGACACCACTGAGTCTAAAGTATATTTTCAAGAAAATTTCGAAAAAAAATAATAATTTTAAATTTTTCGGTGACATCTACATTCGGCAATACATTTTTTTAATAGTTTTACTGGAATAATCAAAATACTTCCTTAGCAAAAGTTTTACGATTTTTCGCGAGCTTTAATTTACTTGCGTTAGGGTAATACCTTAGGGTAGTAGGAACTTATATCTGGTGGGTAAGTACTATAACGGGGTATTTGAATTCTATGAACTTTGAAACAAAAAACAGTGTCGCCTCGAGACAAGAACATCGATATATCATACTTTAAAATCCGGCTGTAAATTCCGAAAATATGTTGAAAAATTTAAAAATTAGAACCGAAATACTTTTCTAGCAAAAGTTTTATGATTTTTTTTTCGAGCTTTAATTTACTGACATTAGGATGATAGGAACTGAGATCTGGTTATAAGTATTAGAAGTTCTAATTTAGAACGGGTACTTGAATTCAATGAACTTTGAAAAAAATGTCCTCGAGACAAAATCATATCATATATATCATACTTTAAGCTCCGACTTTACTTTCTATATATGACGAAAGATGTAATAAGGCGACCCCTACGTTCGGCCTAACACAAAAGAAAATACAAATTGCCTTCCAAAAATACTCTGGACTCAGAGGTGTACGGCGCACTTTTTTTCTGGTACGGTCTAATGTACATACACGTAGTTTGTAGTTGAAAATGACAGGGCGCATTTATTTGCTAAAAGCCAGTCATTGACGCCATTTTGAATATTATGCAAATGTTGGTTTATATTTACTTTTCTGCTTTTTTCGCTTTTGATATTTATTTTATCGTACATAGTTGTTATGTTTATATATTTGTTAAAAAAAAAATTACAAAAAATTTGTTTTGCAATTTCACCAATTTCACAGTTATCTGCATTGCGTTGTACAACGAGAATTTTCCGCAAAAACCTGTGAATATAGCCAATTATTTCGCCATTGCAACGATTTGGCGCCAACACTGTGGCGTCATTCTCTAGCAGCGTCATTTTGTTGATACGAAAAAAAATAGCCATATCGGCGTATTCGGTCAGCTATGCGCGAAAAACAAGTTGCTTTTTGCCAAATTTTAACCAGAAAATTAAAGCTTTTTTAATTGGTATTTTTCACACATACTCACACACAAACGTGCACACATTCGGTGCGCCGTTAAAATTCGTTTTCTATATGTATGCTGAGTGCTAAAGCTACAGATAGTTTGGATTATAAATCGGATTGTCACAATTAACGCTTTCGCCACTGCTTTCTCGTTTTAATTTGATGGATGCTTATGATATGCGAAAAACTACTCGAAAAAAAATGTTAATAAAAACCGGCCGTTATATTGGATAATCAAAGTGAAAAATGGACGAATTTTGCAAATTTGTGATTTCGATGGATTGGCTTGTTTGGTGGATATAAAAAGTGAGTAATAAATACTTTGCATAACATGATAGAGAACGCTAGAAAGAATTTAGTAGGTCAAAAAAAAAGCTTTAAAAATTAGTTAACTTAATTAATTTTGTGAAATATATTGTATTTCATAGAAATTTTCACACAAAAACTAAATTCAAGCATTTCCATGATATTATTTAATACATTAGCAATATTTTCAATATTTGCGAAACTAAATTGGTTGGTGGTTTAATTTTTTTCTTTTCTTTAACGTAATTCAGAATTAATTGAGTTTTAAGCAAATTCAGAGAACGAAAGTAATCTGGCAGAGAACTTCTCATCGACGTCGCTCCGATTTTCGCTGCTTTTCTCAGAATAGACAGTTCTAGATTCAGGACTATGTAAAACAATAACTATACCAGTCGCAGTATAGACAGGCAAACAACCTACACTAATTTTCGCCCCGTGAATACCGTCATCAGAGTACAGTCATCACTGATTTAAGAGCAAGAGCTTCAGCTGCCTCGGCAGACCCGCGTTTCCCTAGCACAATTACAGTCTGGTTACTGTGACGGTCTAAACTCCAGCAAGACTCGAGCCTATTGTATCCAGAGTATGTCACGCATTTTAGGACCATTTTCTGCCAGTTTTTGCGGGAAACCCCAAAGAACAAGAATATGATTAACACTTTGTGTAATGAGCTTCGGCTGCCCGTTGACCCAAACAATATTAGTGTTGTGTTTTTCATTAGAAGGAGAAGGTTGGATGGTTTAATCCCAATTACACTTAAAGGAGTGGCAATTCAGATCTCATCCGAAATTAAGTATCTAGTAGTATTTAATTCTGGACGCCTAAGACTGAGCATAAGACCTGCAAAGCACTTTTTCAATATTAACAGGTCTTTGGGAAAAATTTGGGATCCATTACCAAAAGGTATTCTCTGAATCTACACCTCAATGGACAGATCCATTATCAGTTATGATTGGTGATGCTTAGAGTCAGCTTGGGAAATCTGCTTGCCAAATTTCAAAGGACAGTCACCGCGTCCTGTACAACACCTGGCGCTGCGCTTGATGCTCTGCTACACTTACCATAACTTTGCGCTTTTGTGGGGAGGCATTAAAGAATAGATGTTGGTATAATACTGAGTGGGGCGTGATGGAAATTTCTGGTGGCGGAGATCTAAACACAAGTGATATTCCAAAAGATTTCGTTCCCTGAAGCTGAATTTTGGCCTAATTTCAATACTGAGCCCAGGCTCACACACTGTCGAATATTCACTGATGGCTGCAAAACTTTAACTGGGTTAGGATCGTGGATAATAGAGATGAGCTGCCCTTTTCTCTTGACAAATATGCCTCGATATTCCAAGCCGAGGTATTTGCATTCATCAAGGCATTGGAATACGTGGTGGAAAAAAGGTGGATATGCAGGACTTTATATGTCTGTAGTGACAACCAAGCTGCACTCAAGCCATTGGCCAGCTCTCTAACTACTTCCAGATTGGTTCGGCAGTGAAAGTGTCGACTAAATTAAGTGTTATAGAAAACATAACGAGCTTGTCTTACTTTGAGTGCCAGGTCCCTCGCAAATACCTGGTAATGAGGGATGTGACCATTTGGCCACCAAGGGCTCAGACCAGGCATTCATGGACCAGCAACCAGTTATAGCGTTCCCATTTTCGGCTATCGAAGCCACAGGCAGAAATTGCACGAATATTTTGCACAGTTTTAGGGGTTGAAGGTGGTCAAAGTTCATGTTTCTCTCAATCTCAGAGGCTCATACTAGATATTTGGACTGCAGACAACTTATGAGACTTTTTATTGAGCACTTTACGTGACCCAAACATCTGACTGTGATCGGCATATATGAGAACCCATTTGCCCTTCCGACCTTAAAAGGGATAACGCGGCGAAGCCCTTTTTGAGGCATTTAGCCGCGATGTGTTGGACGACGAACAACTGAGCTCTTTGACACCCAACAATCTCTGCTGCAATTGATTCCTAAATCAAAAACGCTTTAAAACATAAGGGTTTTCCGCATGGCATTAACAACTCTCAGAGCCCACTCAACTAATACCGCTTTCGCTTTGGTCCACCTCATCAAAATCATTGGTTGAGCTTGACGACAGCGATTGAAATACTAGCCGATCTACGCAGGTCTAAATGGCCGCTCCAACAACAGAAACATAAGGTATCTTTTCAAAACTTCTACTTAAATAAGTCTAAATAATAAACTTACTTAGGAAGAATTTGTGCTTTCAGAAAGATTCGGGGGCTAGAATAAACAGGCAAGGCATTAGTTAGTCAGTTAGTTATTTCTTGGGTGTAACAGATCAACCTGAACCGACCTGAAAGATCTTTTGTATTTTTTGT